AAAATAAAATACATACAAAGCAGAACACAGCTAAATGTATCAAAAGTATGTCTATGTAATATTAGAATTTCCTGAGACAACGAATATTGGTTTTTCATTTTTTTTCCCCTGTAAGAGGTTTTTATTTAATAGAATTTTTGGACAAAAAAAAAATCACAATATATCGCCTTGCTTATAGTATCACAATATATCGAGATATATAATCTTGTGACCCCTCTGTCATGATATGTATCGTATCGCCAAATTCTTGCCAATACACAGCCCTACCGTCCTATCGTCGGTTACGTCGTCACACCTGTGTCAACAGGGCTGTGAGTGCAGAGACAACTGAGCAGGAGGAGTTTGAAATAAAATTAAGAAATTATAGTGTTTTAAAACGCGTTAAGAGAGAATAAATCCTCAAAATTTTACCCTCCCACTGTAGAAAAGTTACATCGGGATCATTTCCTCCCTCCACGTTGCGCAGAGCGAAGCTTTAATAACAAGTTTTTTCACACCCAAGTTGTCAGAGAAAAACTAACCACAGAGATGATTAAAAAAAGACGTGGACGTTCGTTCAGTCGTAAATCCATCTTGCTAATGTGAAGTCAGCTTCTACTCTGATGATGAAGATGAGCACGCAGCAGAGCAGCAGCTGATAAGTTCAGCAGGCAGAAGCTCATTGTTTGACAGGCAGATGTTAAAGCAAAAATGTTGGGTTTAATTAAGATTACAGTTTTCTGCAAAAAAAGCTCTAAAAATTACATTATCTTTACTTTTTATTATAATTTTCTACCGCGATGTATACCGTTACTGTGAAGGGGTACAATTTATACTGTGACAAGAATTTGAGGTCATACCACCCAGCCCTAGGTGGACCAACGTCTTATTGATGCTCATATGTCAGTCAAGGAAGGTGAGCAAATACTTTTGGCAATATAGTGTAAGTCAAACCTTGCACACATGACCAAACTCCTCCCTCCTTATGAGAGACCGCTGTCATAGGAGCAGCACTGCGTTGGTGCAGTCTGCGAGTTCTTCTAAATAAACAATATTAATTCTAACAGACAAATATTTGTTTGTTCCACATTAAAGCAAACGTAAGTTTCCAATTATTGTTCACTGCCACCTCCCCCAACTAGATAAATATTTGCTGCTTGGATTTTGATGCCAGAGACTGTGTGGAAAACTGGGTCAGCCAAGGCCAAAAACCCAGAAGGCCAAACTACAGGAGTTATCCATCTGAGGGGCAGGTGTAGTCTAAAACAGTGGTTCTCAAACTTTTTATCTTCTGACCCACTAAATATTCATGGCGAAAACTTGTGACCCCAAATATTACTGGTCTGAGTACACAAACGTCATTAATAACCCTAAAAACACAGGTTTTTTGACAATCTAAACAGCTTGTACACACATATAAATACTGATTTATACTTATTTTGTGGTTTTGTAATATTATAGGGAAAATATTACATCAGAAATTATTGTATTAACCTTCAAAAGGATTTCTGGAGATTATCCAAGGTGCTTCATGACCCATAATTGATTCCCAAGACCAACTTTGGGAACCAAAGTGCACTGGTTCGCAAACTTTTCAGCCTTTGACCCACAAAATAACAGTAGCAGAGACCTGAGCCCCCAACTATTTTTGGATGATAAACATTTGTATCAGGTCAACAAAACATGGGCATAGTGATAATCTTTATTATACTACATTTATCCATTTTAAATACACGAACCTCACTCCTTTGTAACAACTAAGCCATAAATGTAATTAATTCAGAAAATCTTTTCAGGACCCCACCTTGATGTTTCGGGACCCCACTTTAGGTCCCGACCCCAGCTTTGGGAAACACTGGTCTAAAAGACATTTAACCATGAAACATTCAGTTTGACATGTTTATAAATGTGCAGCCCTTAAACATTTGCACTTAATATATATATTAGAATTTCTTTCTTTTAATTTATCTTGAGATGTTATGTTAAAGTTTCAGATCACAGAATCACTTTAAATAAGTTTCATTAAGTTATAGAATAGAAATAGAATAGAAATAGAATAGAAATAGAATAGAAATAGCCTTAATTGTCCCGCAGCGGAGAAATTCAGGTGTCACAGCAGCATCAGTACAGAGGTTCACACACTAGTTACTTTACAAACTATAGATAGTACACACAAAACAAAAAATAACACTGACTAGCCACGTACAACTACTACTAATAAAAATATAATATAAGGTATTGTGCAAGAATAGAAAACGATGTTTTGTTTCAGAGTCAGACATTAGGAATCAGAAATTGCCTGTTTTCAGTGCAAAACAATGTCAACAGACCAATAACTGTTAAGCGAAGAATCACAATGCAGGCAAGAAACAGATGTGCAATTACAGCAGAGTGTAGTACAAATGATTGTTTAGTTGAGTAATTACAATAGTGATAGTGCAAATGATTGTGCAGCAGCAGGTGTGTAAACACTTATTGTGATTTTTGGGCGTGGTGCTGGTTATAGAGTGTGGCAGCTGCTGGGAGGAAGGATCTACGATAACGCTCCTTTGTGCACCTCGGATGCAGCAGTCTGTCTGAAGGAGCTCTCCAGTTCAGCCACAGCTTCATGGGGTGGGAGACGTTATTCATCAATGATGTTATTTTAGTCAGAGTTCTTCTGTCTCCCACCACCTGCACTGTGTCGAGGGGGCATCCCAGCACAGAGCTGGTCTTCCTGATGAGCTTATCTACCCGCTTCCTCTCAGCTGCAGATAAGCTGCCGCTCCAGCTAACCACCCTGTAGAAGAGTCTGCTCTGACCCTTCCTGTAAAGAGTCCGTGTTGTGAGTCCAGTCCAGTTTATTGTTCAGGTGAACACCCAGGTACTTATAAGAGTCCACTATCTCAATGTCCACTCCCTGGATGTTCACTGGTGTCAGTGAGGTGGGTCTGTGCCTGTGGAAATCCACCACCAGCTCCTTGGTTTTAGCAGCGTTGATCAGGAGGTGGTTCTGCTGGCACCAGTCTACAAAGTCCTGAGTCCACTGTCGGTACTCTGGGTTGTCCTCACCTGTGATGAGGCCGACTATGGCAGAGTCATCAGAGAACTTCTGGAGGTGGCAGCCCGGGGTGTTGATGGTGAAGTCTGCAGTGTAGAGGGTGAAGAGGAACGGTACCAGTACTGTTCCCTGAGGAGCCCCCGTACTGCAGACCAGCGTGTCTGAGACACAGCTCCGTGTCATCACATAATGTGGACGATCCGTCAGGCAGTCCAGTCTCTACTGGGACATGTGGTGGTCCACTCCAGACAGCTCCAGCTTATATGTTTTGTACAATTCCAGTTCAAATACTAATTATTACTAGATTTTTAACCAATTACAGTATTTGCGAGTTAATATTGCCTTAATGAACATCGATCTAAAAAAAAAAAACCTAACCTGGCCTGTAAAACAGTGATGTTAAATGTGACGCATTAGAAAATGTGGGTGCACCTAACTTTTGTGCGAGTGCACCTAAGAAAAAAAGCAAGAAAAAAAAACAAAAACGATAGGTGCAACCAGTGCAGAAAGTTAGTCTTGGACCCTGCCATTGATCAAATACTTATTTCTCCAGGTGTTTATAAGCAGTAACATGAAACAGATTGTAGATCTCTTGATAACTAACAAACATGATAAAAACAGGCGTTCACATTATCTGATCCTACCGTCATGGAGGTTCATGTGCTCCTGCAGGCAGCTTCTGGTGGAAAGTGCTTTGGAGCAGATGGTGCAAACAAATGGCTTCTCTCCTGTATGTATGCGCTGGTGAGCCAGCAGTGTGTGCTTCTGGGTGAAGGTCTTCTCACAAACTGAGCAGTGGAACGGCTTCTCCCCTGAAAGAAAACAGCGAGTGCTTCAGCAGTCTGTGGTCGACGCTGCCCGTTTGCTGCTCAGCGGATTTTTAAATTATTCCATTAAAAAAACTGAAAAATGCTGAATTACTTCTGCAATCAGTTTGAAATATTAAACCTGAGTTGGTAAAAATAAAACAATTTGAATAAAAGCTTAAAACAAGCAAAAATAATGGCTAAAAGCAGAAAAGTAATTAAAGGGATCCTTGATTAGTTGTGACACTAGACTTTATTTGATAAACATTTATTTTAGCTGTAAAATAAAGACTGTAAAAAATATTGTAGGATGTAAATTTTTAAAAATATATTTTAACACGGACGGGGCCATTTTATTTACACACAAAGCATTCTGGGTAAATGATGACGTGGATAGGTCCTCGGTGCGAGG